TCTGTATAATTTCGTTCACCGGTTTTCGATTGAATAGACATACCTATTACATTGTTATTTTGACGAACGATAACCCTCAGAAGTCGAAACTTGTGCGAGCCAAGGACTAACGAGGTCTTACCTTTTAACGTGTAATTCCTAACACGGGTTGGAGGATATTAAGTGAAAATCGAGTGTTCAGCCTGGTGCTGGAATCATCGACTCACACATTGGCCGATTGACTGGGTGAACAAAGCACCCACGTCGAACCGCTCGGCTACCGACCGACCAACTCACAAACATAAATATCAACCTTATTTGGCTGAAGTGTATTCGTTATCAGCAGCACCTTAATGAATTTTCTATATGACCATATGATATTTCATCTACAAAATATTGAATGATCTAGGTTCAGTTTATTGCATATAATAACTTCAGATGTGCAAAATTATTCCACTAAAAATAACACTGTATACAATCGCCGTTTTTCAAGAGTTTCAACTAGTATAACTAGCTACCATATGAAATGAAGTCCAGTGTATTTTTTCTCTATCTAATGAGAATAATTTGTGAGTCACGCAAAATGGTTATTTCAATATGTGATGTAGGAAAACTCTTTCGTGCAATGTAAACCAATTTTGAAATAAATCATTTCACTATGAACATATATTGAATATAATGGGTTTTAGTATATTCTAATGACGGGAAGGTGTGTCAACGAATATGAACTTTCATGGCCAGAGATGACTGTGTGAAAACTATTTTCCGGGATTGTTGGCCATGCTCTATAGATTTTCATACCTGACGTTTCGTCTACTACTACGGCGCCTCAAAAGGCGATGAGGTAACGATTGAAGTGCTCGAGTTTTTTTAGACGCAGATACTACAAAATTGATTCAGTTATTCGGTTTTATTCCATTCGGCGTAGCTTCGTTTCTATCAGTTGAATTGAATGACCTGATAACAGAGAAATTAAGTGCAGGTGACCAGATATTCTTACTGTTAATTCTCTCTCTCTCTCTTTCGATTGAAATTGTCTCAGTTTGTATGAATTTCTATCGCCTGCTTATATACTCTTCGATAGTAATTCTGAGTTTTGTCAATTATTTGTTCTCTTTGGAACAAGATAATGTGAGTGTCTTCTTTGAGTGCATGTTCGGCTCCAGCTGATTTGTCTTATGCCCCAGGCGATAATTTCTCTTGTGTTCAGAGAGCCGGGTACTTATACTTCGTAGTTCTAACGTAGACCGATCTTCAACTACATCCGCTAAATTCATGTACGAATAAAAGAAAGAGCATAGGTTCTAGGACGCCATCCTGTGGAGTACTGTTGGGAACGACACAGGTTCTAGAGATGAACGTGTGAGCTGGTAAAAGCTGTCTGTTGAAAAATTGAGGTGAATTTCAATTTTTCCCAAAAAATATTTATATATTCATCAATTTCTATATTGTTCACTTCAAAGTATTTTCCCTTCAGATATAATACACTCGAAGCAGTTCTGAAATGCATTTTCCGGTATGTCCTTGAGCTCTCTCAGCGAATCTGTTATTATTTCCACAATCGTCGCAAAGTGCCATCCTTTCATAGGTCTCTTCAATCTTGAGAACAGGAAAAAGTCACAGGGGGGCAAATTTAGTGAATACGGTGGCTTAGGCATCATTACGGAGTTATTTTTGGACAACAAATTACGAACAAGCAATGACTAGTGAGCAGATTCATCATCGTGATGCTAAAGATGTGAATAATTTTTCCACAACGGCCGACGTTTTCTTCGTATTGCTTCTCGCAAGCGGCGCATAACTTCAAGATAGTACTCCTTATTAACACTACGACCATATGACAAACACTCCTGATGCACTACGCTACGGTAATCGAAGAAAACAGTGAGCAAAATCGTGACGATTGATCGAACTTGGTGTGCTTTTTCGGTCTTGGCTCTCCTGGGCTTTTCTATTGAGACGATTGGACTTTGGTTTCGATATCAAAATCATATACCCATGATTCGTGTTGCCGTTGACTTTTTTCAACAATTTCTGAGCGACGCTAATGCGACGGCACCCTATTAAAGTAAACACAAGTAAGTTCACTCTCCGCCATATTTGGGTCAAGATTCCCCACCTCGAATTTTATGCGTGGCTGAACTACAGCGCAACTGACTGAATCTGATGGGTTTACCAAGCGAGCCAAGTTGAGGCATAGAATATAATTACAGAGTGAGTCGTAAGTGGTGGTTTTGTATTTGTGAAAAATTCGTGTCTAGTTTCAAAATGAACAAGTTTCGAGCTGTGGGTTGCTGCAATTTGTAGGGTGATGTCGGCATTAATTTTTTTAGATTTCCAACTAACGAAAAAAGGTATGTTTTTCTAGTATTTATTATGTAAGATTGAAGGAATGAACATATAACGAAACTCATAAAATAAATTGTTATAGACCATATATATATGCAGACTTTTTTATGGAATTAATTTGATGAAATGGAATAGTATAGGCCTCACAAGTAATCATATAAAATAACGAAACAATCGTAGTTCCATCGGAAATCCACAAAGGAAAATAATTGTTGAACCATATTTTTTGATTTAGCTAGTATCTAGGTATCTGTAGGAAAAATATTACTTTCACTGAAATCTCTGCTAAACTAAAGTATCAAATGAATATTCAAATAAATTATATTAAGAGTTAGGGGTATCATTTCAGATTCAGGTTTTAATTTTTATACACTGACCAGATAAGATGTCAAAGTGACTGTAGATCAGCCATATTTCTTTGTTGATGAGAAAAAATTTTTTTCTTTTCTTGATACTTCTCATCTGCTGAAATGTAGCAGAAACCAGTTTTTCGATGACTTTTTGAAATTTGATGAATTTACAACGAACAAAAGTCACCTTGAACCACTTTACAACTTGGATAAGGAAAAGCAATATAGACAGCACCCAAACTTACTGATTCTCATTCATTTTCAACTAACTTTCAAAGGATGAAGGTTGAAGTAGCCAGTCAATTCCGTCATTCAGTCATTCGGTAGCTACAGCGATGAATACTTATGACAGTTTCAATCAGATACCATCAGCAGCAATAGGGACGGCTACATTCATTGAAAAAATGGATAAAGTGTTTGATGTTTTGAATTCAAATCGATTTTACGATGTCAAACATTTCAATAAACCTTTTTTCGGAACATCAAAACAAATTGATTTTCTGAAAGAAATGTGAATATTTTTCAGCAAATTAATTGTAATATCAAAAAAGAAATGAAAAACACGACTGGACAAATGACAATCATTGAGGGGTGGCAGATAACAATTTCGGCATCTCTGCAACTTTGAGAAACCCTACATAGTGAAGGACACTCCTACATATTGAAAATTATTTTGGTCAACAGAGAAATACTTGTGGAAATGCCAGAAACCCAACTCCTGTTCAAATCACCAGAGCTTTCAAAAGCACATTTACTCTTCTGTATTTCACACAGGCAGAAGGAACTAACTGTCTAGAAGATACTAGTGAGATTATATCTAGTACTACAGATGCAGACATAAATAGAGTGAAGATTATTGTGAAAGTTCCAAAAAATCCCTATAAACGTTTGAGAGTAGAGATAAATGATTATAGAACTCTAGCCATTCCCGAAGGCAACAGCTTGGGCTATGTTTGTGGATATCTTTTGGGAAAATGTTTAGGAAAACATTCATGTGAAGTATATACAAATGTTGCCACGGCGGCTAGTATCACACTAAATGAAACAAATGCATATAGTTATTTCAAGGCATACAGTGATACAGAAGCCAAACAGTTTGGAAATGTATGTATTGTTTTTTTTATTGCTTGTAATAGTTTGTTTCCCTCGACACAAAAATTGAGATGTAGATTCTTATATACATTGAAGTATACTCTCTGTGTTTCAATATTCAAATGCATCTAAATAGTATTCACTGGTCTCTCGATTTCGCATTGTTCACCATCGCTATTGCGGAATCACTACACAGGAAAAAGTCTGCGTTGTTATCACACTCTTTATTACTATTAGTACTTGTCCAAGGACGCCACATGTCAAACAGATAACAAAAATTTTAAGTAATTATAACTGCACCAATATCGAATTTCAACACTCAAATCGCGATCAGTTCCTGAACTGAACACGACGGCGATAACCTTCCCCGATTTCTATTCGTCACCGTAACATGACTTCAAATTTAATTTTATGACCAATCATAAATCTCGGTTAGTAAAAATTATCCAATACGAACCGCCAAGTCTACAGTCCATGTGGACTAGTGATGCACTGCCGGTACATTTCTATGTATTGTTTTTTTTTGGTCTTTGAGAGTGCCGCCACCTTTAAATGTGCACAATATCCTTTACTTCGCTTATACCGTCCATCTGTGCTGTCCCTACCAAGTGCAAGCTGAACTTCACTCACAAAATGTGCTTTATTATTATAATGACCAATTTTGAGGTTGCTGGAAACTACGAAGAGGTGCAATTGGGTATTCTCTTTGGTCACCCAACTGGAGTTCAGTTTTTTCTGTGTTTGACACATAAAAAACGAAGCGACATCGTAAGTGCTACAAAATCTACGACTACGGTTTGTTAATAACCCGTTTTTATATGTAGGTTGGCGGGTACCACATTCATTTGAGTTTTCAAGTACAATGCATCCGATTTTTGCATTTTTTGGAAAACTTATATATTCATATATTCTAAACTAGTAGTCCGATTTTTAGAAGAGAAGCAGCAATGGATAGAGAATCGAAAGCTATTTTCTTTGGATCACTATTCCTATTAGAAAAATGTGTTGGGTTGAAGGTTTAGGATATTTACGAAAAATTATTAACCTGGCAGTTATGCCTTGCGATATTTTTCAATGGATCTTTATGTATAAGTGTACGACCTACTCGAAAATGAATTGAAATGACATATACGTTGAAAGAGGGTTTAGAGCAGGTTGGAAAACTGATTAGTTATCGGATTTTGATGAAACTAGAAGTGGTATTTGAAAATATTTAATATTTGAACTCACCTGTGTGTTCGGGGACCTCTGAAGTTCCAGTTGATGATAACAACTGTGACGAGAATACTGACGGTGTTCATGATGAATGTGAAAAGAAGATATTTTGCGATGAGTGGCAACACGAGTGACGTTGGTGGCAGGATCTTCGATACGAGTAACAAGAACACAACCAGTGAGAGCAAAATACTGATGCCTAACGTTACCTGAAAAACAATTACATCTTACTTATGCCCATTACTGTACTGAATATTGAAACAAAGTATTTTTTGTTTGAGTTTTCGATTCAAAACTTTTCTAGGTGTTGTTGAAGGTGGGTACATTAAGTACAGCAGGTTTAGTTGAATGTAAGTGCCTACATTTAACTGTAAGTACTAATGTAAGTACATTCAACTGCGCCTTCTGTCACAATCAAACAATTCACTTTTTTGAAGAGATCAAAACCTGGGCTGGTTGGCCGTTTTTGAATGGAACATGAAGTACTGAACATTTCGTCTGCTACAGCTGCATACATCATCGGTGGTGTTATCGTTGACTGTTAGGACGAAGGTTATATCTCGAAGCTCTAGCAACGAAACGACTGACTAGTCAGTTTTCAGGTTCCATTCGAGTCGTACAAGGGCCTGGCGAATATTAAAGAAAGTATGAGTTTTATTCATGTAAGATTCAATTACTGCAAAAACTCAACGACGACGATACAAATTGTTGCGTGCAAACTTGCTAAATTATGCGTGAACGAGTAGGCGGTGTAGTTGATCGTCACAATTGTCGTTGATGGGCCGATAGCTATTTCAGAGTTATTCACGAGACACACACAAAACGTATGAGCTAGTATAAATGTGAGTTCATTATTGTGTTTTTTTTTTAAATTTCCCAAGTGATATTCATTTATATCTACTTCACAGTGCCATGAGTCCAGCTGTTACTAATATCATAGAGAATTATCTTGCATACAATGAAGAGAAAATGATGTATCGACAAGACTGTACTTTTCCATATCTGGTGGCTGGTGCGTTGTGTTTGGGCCAAGGCTTTCAATATTATGCAGTGAAAACTGCAGTGAAAGATAGACGATTCTCGTCAGCGATCGAAAGTGACCGCCTTGTAGAGCGCCGTTTATCTTTGATATTCGTGGATTTGGTTCTCATTTAGACGACGTCATCGCCCATCTTTAAAATTATATTGTTGGAAATATCATAAAAATCTTATCATGTTTTCAACAAGACATGGTGTTCTATTGTAAGTACACTTTTTATTTGTTAAAAGCTGTTCAAGACTGATCAATCTTAAATATGTTCCAGATATTAGCAAAGCTTTCGAGACTGCGTGGCATTTTAATATTCTGGAAAAATTGAAAAAATGGGGTTATGATGGGAACATATTAGCATTTGTACAGAACTTCCTTTTGGAACGAAAGTTCCAAGTTTGAGTAAATGGTATATTATCACAGTGCAACATTCAAGAAAATGGTATTCCTCAGGGCTCAATAATAAGCCCCACTCTATTTCTAATAGCACTCAATGACGTCTTAGACTCCTTGAAAAAAACCCTTCAGGCAAGAATATACGCACATGATTTGGTGCTATTTGTCAAAGGGAAGAATATCCATAACCTAGCTAAACTGTTACAGCTCCACATAGGCTCTCTAGAAAAATGGTTCAAAACCACAGGATTCAATTTTTCTACAGAAAAAATGAACTGCATTATGTTCTCAAAGAAAAAATGCAAGAACTCACCAACAATGAAAATGAATAACACAAAATTAACATTCGTAACACACATCAGATTCTTAGGGATGATATTTGACCAACAATTAAATTGGAAGCTACATGTCAAACATCTAGTACTATCATGCCAAAAAGGAATAAACCTACTCAAACACCTAGCTCATAAACAATGGGGTGCAGAAGGTTCAACACTGCTACTGCTGTACCGATCTTTAATACGCTCAAAATTACATTATGGTTGTATTGCATATGCTTCTGCTAAACGAAGAACATTATCTCAACTGGATTCAATATATCATTCTGCTTTGCGTATAATCGCAGGAGCGTACAGGAAAGCCTCTACTGTGAAATAGGAGAACCTTCCCTGAGTTTTCGCAGAACCCAGTTGAGTTTGTCATATGCTGCCGCAGTTTCATCTATGAAAAACATTCCCACTTACAGGAATACAATAACAAATCGACTTCCAACAAGTTACTGTCGGCCAAGAACTGATCTTCCATTGTACGAAGGGAACCGACGACAAGTAAGTTCTTCACAAATGGAGTCAATTCCAACCCCGTACCCCACAAACATCAAATCTGCACCACCATGGCTCAAACAGACTCCTATCATAAACCCTCTCCTATCCCAGTTTCCCAAACACGATACAAATAAGAACATCATCAAACAAAATTTTCGACAAATCCTGGACCAATTCGACCACCCTGAAAAAATATACACAGACTCATCCAAAACTCATATTGGTGTAGGAGCTGCAGTAGTGACTGACTGTGTTGCATTGACCTTTAAACTTCCAGAAACAGCAACAATACTAACTGGAGAATTATTCGCCATCCTTCAAACTCTCCAGTACGCTAAGTCAAGTGTATCGGACACTGTCTCGATCATTTCAGACTCTCTCAGTGCCTTAAAACTCCTTCAACGAATATAAATCAAACATCCCATTGGAATACTCATCAAACAACAATTTTTCGAACTCCAATCGCTCAAGAAGAAAATCATCCTACTTTGGGTTCCTTCGCATGTGGGTATTGTTGGAAACGAGAGTGCTGACTTTTATGCTCGTGAAGCGATTGATAATCCGAACCAAGGAACAACAATGTATAGCCCTCATACCGACTTGAAACAATACTTCAAAAGCTTATTGTTGAGTAAGTGGAACATTGAATGGCAGAATACCCCATCCAAACTGAGAGAATGGAAACCCAAAGTCGGACCATGGAACTATGGTACACTGAAAAGAAGGGAACAAGTTATAATCATCCGTCTCCGATTAGGACACACCAAATTAACCCACGAATACTTGATATCCCTAGCAGATCAACCACAGTGCCACATTTGTGAAGTTGCACTAACAATACATCACATAATAGGGCAGTGTCCAGTGTGTCAATTAGAAAGGGAAATGTGCAAAATATCGATGGAAACGCAGGAAACCTTGAGTTATTTTAGTGATAGCAAGATTTTAAATTATTTGAGTGCTCTGAACTTATTGCTCCACATTAAAAATATCAGATTCCATAAAGAGATCGTTAGATGGGCGAGTATTCGTTCTGGCATATTTTTTTATAGATTACTTCCATTCTGCTTAAATAATTGAATGCAATGTCTCATCCTAGAAATGCAAATTGTGAATCGTATGGGCCAGAAGCAACAAACTATTTTCAACTTGATATTGTAAGAAAAGTTGTTGAGTATTTGAAATGATTGAACAGTAGTGCTGAGTACGCCATTGAGGAAAGAAAACCCAACTTAATGCGATTCAGTGAAGGCACCAAGATATTTGGTACGATTCGTTTTCTTCATTGTTTTAATCAAATTTTGATACATTTGAATTTCGTCACAACTTGGCAGTCTTATATGATGCTGACGTTTTTATATAATAAATGCAACGATTGACTTTTATGATTTTCTATATATCATAATTTAATAGTTAAGCATTTTATAACATTTCCAAAATACATATCATGAAATTATGAAACAACAATGAAAATTAATTTGCGCTCCGGGGCGACTTTATTGATTCCAGTGGCGCATTTGCTTTTTTACCTGCAGGAAAACCCGGAAAAACCTGCAGCACCATATCACATAAAGATCTTGATCTGCCAATGTCCTCTCTCTCATAAAACAAAATGTAGGATGTCTCCAGAGGCTCCAATAAATTCAATACATCGCCAGAACACTTCGTGACACGAATATCGTCAAACTTAAACTGCATGAATATTATAATAGTGGTCTGCTAGATTGAAGTGTTCATCTATGTCGAACCTTCATAAGAGTTTGGTGGTTGAGTCACAGGTTGAGTCATGTTTTAAGATTATCAGTGTTATTATTAGATTGACTGGTGCCTCAGCTATACTTGTTTCCTTATAACAGTCAGTTACTTTGACGCATGTTTGACGCATGTTTGGCAATAAAGTCGATCATCACCTGTTAAAAGTTCCATTTCCAGATGATTCAACAATAAGCTTTGCAAGGACTGGTTATTAGTCATATTAGGAAACGCTAGTTGAAGTTCCGAAAATTCACATTCGTTTTTGCTACCTCTACTACAAAGTAAACAAGTGAGGATATTTCCAGCAAAAGATTTACGAACACAAGACGAGATAGATTGTACGGAATCATTCAATCCAGAGCGGTCAGGAGTATTAATTGTTTTGCTCACGAAGAGTATTCAACAAGAGCCCCAAGAATTCGGAACAATCCTCTTGTTGTCCTAACGAGTATCTAGTGGACTTCAAAGACTCCAGGAAATCGGTTGGAGGGAAAGATGATACATTCTTACGAAACTGCAGCTGCATGATTAGGTGTTTGAGTTTAGTGAATAAGTAGGTATGGAACATATCATTTGTTTTAATGAAAGTAGTCAATCCACGGTTTTCGTGGTCTTAAACATCTCCTGATGTTTCTTCCCGGTCAACATTTTATTTGCAAAAGATCAGTTTTAGGACCGTTCGTGAAGGGATTCTCAAAGAAATGGTTTATGAATAATATATACGTAATCGTCATCCTACTGACGTCTGTTATTGGATATCACATACATTTTTTCGTGATGAAAATATTTGGTGAAAGATTATACTTCGGAAATATGGCTTATATCAAATAATTATCTTTAAGCTGATGCAAATATAAATATATTTCTACTGATGAATGAAAATCGTAAGGAATAAAATTTGATATTCTTATTATGAAAAACTGAAAATTAAATAAGGCCGATGACATCAAATATCGACAAGGTTTATCCTCTGTCTTTCACTGCTAGGCAAAAGTTGAAAATCAGAGCCCAAACAACGCTTTGATGATTCAACACCAGACAACGGTGGTACTGGGCTAAACCACAATTGCATTACTGAAATCTACTGTCCTTAGAGGACAGAGGGATATCAAAGATAAACGAGGCTCCTCAAGGCGATCAGTTGCAAAGCCAAGCTTCGACATCGAAGCCCAAACACAATGCATTTATGATTTAAAACCAGACTGCGCTAGTTAGACTTGCCATAGGCATAATCAGTGGTGGTAGGCCGAACCACAAATGCATTGCTGGTCTCAACTGTCCTTAAAGAACAAATCTGAGTTAGTGAGGGCGATGATATATCTCCTTACGAAGACGCCATCTATGGGATAGACAGATAACTCAATCCTCGAAAATCAAAGATAAATAAGGCTTCACAAGCCGGTCAGTTGCGAAGCCAAGCTTTGCAACGCCGACGAGATTCTACAAAAATTAACAAATAGTTCACAATGAGGGTTTTATTAGGTTGTTTCAAAAGTATTGCACGTTTTTTTGATTATGCTTCAAACTGTAATATCTCAGTGAATACCAATTCAATTTGATCGAAATAAGCGTCATTTGCATCAATGCATCAACGTAACACAAGTCGACTAATTTCCTCAGCATGAAACTTGGTACTTGGGATTCGATGGAGTCGACGAAAGCCGTTTTTGCCTGGTCCTGATTGGCGAAGGTTCTGCCTCGATTGGCGAGAGGTCTATGCGTCAATAGGACTATGCTGTGATGGTTTGCAGAAAGTTATAATGCAAAAAGTTATAGTGAATCACACCATCGGCTGGCCACCATATAGTAAACATGGTCTCTTTTTGGTGGGTTTTCGCCTTTGGGAAGTGCCTCGGTAGCTCATTGGTGTACAATCTGAACGCCTTCTGTTGTCGTAGATAATCCACTTTTTATCACACGTGACGATCCAATCCAATATAATTTTGATTGCGCGAAAGCAAAGAATAACAGACGTCGAAACGTGATCATTTCTGTCGATCGTTCAAACCGTGGGACAACAAATTTTCGAGCTTTTTGACCTTTCCCAGACCTCACGCCCAGTTGTCTCATTATCCCACGCACAGTTTGTTTGTGATAGGGCAGTCTCCACCATGGTCCCCAAATCCTCTTTCTGGATTACTGTAGGTCGTCCACTTTGTGGCTCATCTTCGTGCGTTCATCAACACTATCATCAACAAATGCCTGCTCAATTTTTCCGGCTGTTACGTCAGCGCTTTGGTTCAATTTGAATTCGTACAGAAAAACCAAAAAATTGAAAAAAAAAGTATCATTGTATGGAGTAAAAAAATCTCTATCGATCAGTATATACCACGACACAGTATAATGAATATTTATTGAAATATGGAGCTAAAATGGACACCAATATGTCTTGGCACAATCACGTCGCTGGAATTGCAAAGGCTGCTTCTCAAAACCTTGGAACACTGTTCCGAATCAGAAAACTGTGCACACCTCAGCGACTTTTGATGCTTTATAAAGCTCAGATCAGACTTTCTTTGGATAATTGTTCTCATGTGTGGAGCTCCGCCCCTGAAAATACCCTGAAGCTACTGGATTCCATCCAGAAAAGAGCCATCCGCTTGATTGGAGACGCGAACATCATGTGCAACCTTGATAGCTTGGAACATCGAAAAAAGGTTGGAAATTTGTCTCCCTTTTATAGATACTTCAACGAAAAGTTTTCAAGTGACTTGGCACATTCGATTCCACCAAGAGCGATGCATATCAGAAATACGCGACGGACTGTGTCTGCTCATCGTTTTGAAGTTCAACTCAGTACACCTCGAACTTCACTTTTTGAGAACTCTTTCATTTGGAGAACTGCGGTTATGTGGAATACACTTTCTGAGATCGTTTTTTCAAATGAATTTAATCTCCAGAGATTGAAATCCAAGTTGAATCGCTACTTTCGCACAAGCACCGCTTCTAGAGTGCCTTAAGGATTTTCCTGAAGTGCTTGTGTTTTGTTGACATGACATTGAAACAGGCATAACTTTTGAAACAATTTAATATTAATCCAAAATGACCTTATTTGAGGTTCATTTTGAAGACATCATTTAAGGAATTTTACATTTTTTTCAGGAATGAAATAATTGGTAAACCACTAAACATTGAAATAGTATATCGCCTATTCTTTCATTTCTTTTGAGCTAATGAAAACGAGTTTTTTAGTAAATAAAAAACCTGACACATCTATTCCCTGTAACCAGCAAACCATATTTTCATAAATGGAAAGGTATTAACATCACTGTAATTTGGTACTACTCGGAAATGAAATGTGAATAATTATTTACTATGTATCTTCAATTGTACTGTGCCTTTTTACTATTTACTTCGATAGTCGCAAGTTGTCGAATTATTCAGGGGAAACTACTGCATTAATTGAAAAGTTATTTATCAAGTGTGAATATGTTATTAATCTCTTCCAGTAATACGATTTTACCGTTATTGAAGATTACGAATATATCTGTCTTATATGGTATCCAACACTTTGATAATTGATATTGGAAATTCACTTAGGTTCATCGCTTAGCGTTTCAATTAGATTTGATTGTGATTTGAAATTTAACTGAATTCAATAAAATGAAAAACAAAAATTTGAGAAACAAAAGAGCACTCTTTCTTACCTTTTCGCCTGCTTCGGCTGGCAAGTAGAAAACAAGGACGCAGAGAAACGAAATCAAAACGGTCGGAAGTATTAAATTGACGGTATAAAACAACGTTTTACGCCTGATACTGATGAAGAACGTAATATCGGTTTCGGTTGGATGGTTTCCTTCGTATATGTTGAGGTAGGCTGGCACTTCGATGATATCCCACGTTCCGGATTTCCAGTAGTCGGATAAGTCGACGAAATTTTTGTTATTGTACAGGGCCAGGGAAACTTGATCGCCGTTGAAGGTCCACGATCCGAATTTCATAATACACGTTTGTTGATCGAAAGGAAAATATGTTACATCTATGGTACAAGAACTCTGAAACACAAATGGAAAATGGTTCAGTTCAAAATATAACATTGAGATTCTGTAATATTTAATCTATGTGTAAAAGTGTTGGTGACTACTGGAGGTTCAGAATTCCATTGCCTTGAAGTTATGTATATATTTTAAATTCAAGAGAAAATAATAAAATGGAGATTATATTTTTTATTAGCTGTTAGTGAAAAAAAGTGGGAATAATATCAAATAAATATGGGAAATAATGAGCAGTGAGTATTCAAAATCACAAGAATGCTGATTTGTAAAGAAAATAATGGACTTTTTACTATTTTCACACCCAAAAAGTATTTTTCCGCAAGCAGTTAGAATGTCAAATTACCTAGAAGAACAATTTGTTCAGGCCAGTCTCGACTTACCTAAATGGACTGACACCTACTTTTGTGAAGTTTTCGTTACTAACACCTGTTGGATATAATACAAGGCCCTTCGTTTAGGTAAGTTGAGGCTGGCCTGATCAGATTGTTTTTTCAGTTAATTTGATTCTTAGTCAGTCTTCAAGTTTAAGCCCACTGAATATATATGAACAGTTAGGATGTGTTTCCGTTTGAATTATGTTGTGCAATCTCAATTAATATCTTGGTTTTCTGATGTTCTTCGTTTTTTTGGACCACATTTGGAATATCAAATTAAAACCTGTTTGGTTTGCCGCACTATTTGTGATGCACTGTTTGGAACTTTGGTGTAGTAATGAATATTACTGGAGTTTTTTCCCAACACCAAACCGTTATTTTAACACTTCGACACGTGTTTCGATCATCTTTCGATCATCTTTAAGAGGAAAATCAAACTAACCATGCTTAGAAAGCTATCCTTATTTATACCATAGATACCTGTTCTAGGTACCTGCGTCTTGTGTTTTAATAATATTGCCTTATTTACTAGTCTTAAATGAATTTTACAATGTGTCCTTATGTAATAGTCAGGTAAATCTAATAAACGAAATATTATTTTAACTATTTAGTATACTATTAGGTTTTCGTCCACCATCATTATTCATAATATTATTATGTTTACTTATTCCTATCCTTCAGAGTAGTCCCCTCAGATATTATACACTTGTACCAGCACTTTCTCCGTTCCTCGAAAAAGTTCTGATATGCATTTCTTGGTATATCCTACTCAATCGCCGTAAAACGCCATCCTTCCGTGAGTCTTTCCACTCTTGAAAACAGAAAAAAGTCACAAGGGTGACTTTAAAGATTAATCTTCCTCTTGAAGATGATCACTTGGTGATCGAAACACGTGCTGAGGTGTTGAAAATAACGATTTGGTGTTGGAAAAAACCTCCAGGAATATTCATAACCTTTTTGCAAATGTTGACTTTCGTTTATATGTTTCATCGTTTTCCCTCATAACAAACCAACAATCAATCTCCATCATTGCTGCATCCCATGATGCATCCCACATAATTTCTATAATGTTATCCAAGTGTCTTAAGGCGAAACATCAATGGGATGACAGTGTCCCATGTAAGTGCAATTTATTACCGTTCATTTAAAGTGAGGCAAGTGTCTTAAGGCGAAACATCAATGTATACCAATGAGGATGACAGTGTCCCATGTAAGTGCAATTTATTACCGTTCATTTAAAGTAGAACTCATGTGAATGATATTTGATTTTATTCCATAACGAATATTTGGAATACAAACTGAGTAAAGAAAAGTATCTTCTATATAATTCAGTGTTCATAAAAATATTTTTGGGTTAAAAGGATATAACACTCTCTATAATGAATCCTTCTTTAACAAAAATGATGGCGTAGTAGCGTTCATCAAAAACGATATTCAGTTTGATCAAACCAATGTCGATTTAGGGGATATAAAGGCTTTCGAAATAAAAATGAAGATCACTGATAAACAATTTATTCTCACCTCAATATATAGATCACCAAATTCATGCCCACTCAGTTTCACTGAGCGTTTATGTGATTACTTACAGAACCTCTGTTATTGTGATATCCATATCTTTACAGGTGACGTAAACATCGATTTATTATCTGACAATGAATATATTGAGGAATATAAGAGTAATCTAGAATATTTTGAATATATTTCTTACATAAATGATGTTACCAGACTAGAAAGTTCAACATGCCTTGATCATTTTTTCATCAAAGCAAATGTTTCGATTCATGATAATACAAAATCATTTAATTTTAAAGAAAAAATTAGCGATCATTTTCCCACCGCAGTTGTTTTGAAGGTAGGAGGGGCAGAAAATAAAAAGACAAAATTTATGACATAAAAATATAACAACTATCACAAACTCAGAACAGATTTACTAAATGAAACCTGATTCGAATTATTTGAACAAAATAACAGTAATGATATAGCTCATATCTTTATTGATAAATTGAAGTTGACTAGTAGATAAGGCAATATTATGAAATTAATTTTATATAGCTTATAATATTCCAATTATTAGATTTACCTGACTATTACATAAGGACACATTGTAAAGTTGATTTAAGACTAGTAAATAAAGCAATATAATTAAGACACTTGAGACGCAGGCACCTAGAACAGGTATCTATGGTACAAATGAGGATAGCTTTCTAAGTATATTTAGATTGACCTTCCTCTTGAAAATGATCACTTGGTGATCGAAACACGTGTAGGTGATAAAATAAAGGTTTGGTGTTGGGAAAAAACTCCAGTAATATTCCCGCACTATGTTTTTGTAACCTTCAGAATTATACCTGATGATTCCCTCTATTAGTCATCGCCTGGCTCAAGAAATTGCCGATGACGGTTCCGGACGCGAATTGAGGTCTTGTTTCGATTTATCACCGAGAAACAAATTTGAAGTGTGAATTTAGGTTTTCAGTGACCGACCAGCGCATCCTGTAACCAGTACAGTATTTTTTGAGAAGTATATCTGAACAACTCAAATATAGCTAGTGGAAAAAAAGAAAAACAACTCAAGTTACAGAACGGTCTCTTAAACGCTGAAAGAATACACGTAAGTGGCCAGCCTTTATATATCCGCAGTAGAGTAGAGAGTGGTAGATTTAGGAAGAGAACACACGCGAAACCCCGCCTTGAGAGTCCTGTAGATTATAAACGCCTTGTAAAGCCTCTGACAGAGTATCCCAAAACAAACATAGTCAAACCCTGTTGAAACCTTTGGAGGATAGAAACACCTAGCAAAATCCCTGGTAGAAGATTATCACACCGCACAAAGCAAATATAAGTGACTTTGATCTATCGTCCCAATTGACTTTATTCAAAGTTTTTCTATACATTCTATTTCCATCCAATTTTACCCGAATCAACAATTGTGTTCTTATAGCTAGAGAACCCCAAATGTGCATAACAATCTTAATACAGATTGGGAAAAAAGAAAGAAAAAAAAATTTTTCATAGCACTAAAGAAAAGGAAGTTACACATCTGAAACTTCATTTACCTGAAAAACACAAATGTAAATAATCCAACAGACATTGAACGGTACAAACTATGTGAATCATTTTTATCATTTTCTGATTATGATGGTGAGAAGGTACTGCTCAAAACATTTTTAATGAATGTGATCAAGTTTTCAAACTAGCGATAAATGATCAGAAATTCGTTTTGATTACACATTTAGAAAATCCACTGAAAGGTGAGGCAGCAACTTTGGTGGATTCCCATGATCCAACATAGTATACTGCAATCAAAAATTTATTGAATACTTATTTTTATGGTTATCGTGACACTTATTCAAGACCTACTAAACCAATCAGGCGCAGAACTAGGTATTTGCTTTCCACAGATACAGAACTATAATTCTAAAATTATTTTATATGTAAATAAATCTAGCTTATCGACAAAAAAAGATGGACGAATCAATCTAATGAATAACATTTCATTGAACACTATTTCGAAAGTTCAGACCTTCGAATCAGATAAATCTTACGTGCAAGTAACTTCGAAAACCATGTCAACAGCAGCGCAACGTATAAAAATGGAATCCAACTCTCTTATTTTGAATCACAATAATCGACCCTTGTACCCTCCAGATCTATCGACCCTCATAAAGTCTATATTTGTGATTCAGAGATTGAATTTGATAGAATTTTAGGTTGTCATTTTCTAGATTAATAACAAGGACTGATTGATATAATGAACCGTCGAATAATTTTGATTTATGAAACTGTTCCTCTAATAGAAGGAAATTGAAGAAAAAAACAAAAAATGAAACACCGAAACAAAAAACCGGACTACCAAGTTACACTGAAGCCTCAAACCGCAACCGCAACCCTTTCGTTCATTAAATATATTTGAAAAATGAACTTCCAAAACACGTGAATGGTATAGAAATCGAGGTAGAGGAAGTTTTCGATTTAAATTAAAATTTGAAAAATTGCAAAGCAATACTGCTTGCTTCCGAAAAAGAGAAAATGAGATTTCGAAACGCACTAATAAAGACAACTGACATGAAGATATTTACACCACCGTTGTAAATGCAAATGCGATTTAAAAAACAATTGAATTTTCTGATTCAAAATTAGAACCTATTGGAAAAGAAAGGTTTTGGCTTTCTACTTTTCCATCTTGATACAAAAAAATGTGGAAATCTTCCAAAGAAAGAAAGGAAGCAATCAATTCAGACACAAACTGAAAGAAAAAACCGTCTCAAAACAGCTACTCTCATATAAATATTGAATTACTTGATAGAAAAATACTTTTGAAACAAATACCTTTATATGAACACTGAATTATACAAAAAACACTTTTCTCTATAATGATATTCAAATAAGCGAATGAATGTCATTACGTACTGACGTCGATGACATGAGTAAATTGAATTCATTCGTGACATGAAGTCGTAATTTCATGAATGAATTAATTGTTTTTTCTCAAAATGTTATCCAGATTTGGTACTGAAGAGCTAATAAGGCAAGTGTCTTATGGTGAAACATTGGATGTCTACCAGTGAGGATGACAATGTTCTTGTAAGTGACATTTTACTCCTCTCAATTACTATATTATGTAGG